CCCCAAAACCCCAAAACCCCAAAACCCCAATTTTTAGAGTAAAAATTGAAATTAGGAGTATTAATGACGTGTTCGTTTGTTTTTGGAAAATTCATTTTGAGGCCTTTCTCGCTTTTTGCCACAGTAGAGCCCTTCCTCTTCTTCTTCATCATCACTCTGTTCTATTTGGGCTTTTTCCCATATCTCTTTCATCTTGAGGATGTCTTTTACAAGCTCAGATTTGACTGTGTGAAGGTTCTCTTTTGCTTCTTTATCGACTGCTTTAATAATCAAATCTACTCGTTTCTTGAGTTCAGGCTCTGTTCTAGACAATAAACAATGATTGAATCGACTCTTGGTCTTCTTGAGTGACTTCTTGATTAGCTTCCAGTTGCCATATCCTAAAGAGTGGGTCAACTTAAGTAGAGTTATGTCTGACTCCTTGCTGTACAATTTGGACTTTTGAGTGCAGAATGGAAGAATTGTGGGGTACAGTGAGGGCCCACAAGGAGGATTCTTAGAGCTCTCTCCCCATTTGTACTCCAGCATTTTCTTTGTGGTATTTAGTGTGGATCTTATTAACTGGCAATCTGTTAAATTATTGTAATTTCTAAGCAATGTTTCTATGTATGGCTTAACTTCTTCTGGGGATTTGGTTTCAATGAATTCTGAAATTCGTTTTGTCTCATCAGGAAGTCAGAAATCTAATGCTTCAAGAAGTCTGTTGTACTCTCTATAAGACCAATTATGGAAAGACTCTTTGAGGATCATATCTTTCTCAGCCTTTTCATCAAGACTGAGCTCAAACTTTGGGTCGTTCTTTGAATTTTCTTCCTTATTGATAAGATCTCTGAGTCTGATAATTTCTTTATAAAATCTCCAGTCAGGAAGATCAATAAATTCCCTTCTATTATCAACAGGTTTGTCCTTATCTTTACTTGCAAGTTCAGGACAGAGGGCGTCTTCATTCAGGTTCTTCATTTTCTTTAGCTTTTCTCGACGTCCTTCTTTTTTTTTCTCATCTAAGATCTTGACGACATTATCAGCAATGAGTTTAAGCTCAATTTCCTTTCTCTTTTGAAGATAATTCTCATCTTCAAACTCCCAGAAGTTGAGGCTGTTAATCTCGAAATTCTTCATGTCAAACTTCTTTTTGATCAGATTGTCTGATTCTTCAGCGAGTTTTTCAGCAGACTCTTTACCTTTGGCGATAATGGTATCGATATCATCGCTAGTTATGTCATCTCCAGCTTTGAAGATCTTATCAGCACCGTAGTTTACAATATTGGCAAGGTCCTCTTTGGAGATATTCGTCTTCTGCTGACCACCTTTTTGGATAATCATTGAGTCAAGTTTCAGCTTCATTGCTTGTTTTTCAATCATCTTCTCCTCCATGGTTGACTGGGTTATTAGTCGGAACACTTGGACTGGCTTTGTCTGACCAATCCTGTGAGCTCTGTCCATAGCTTGAAGGTCAATCTGAGGGTTCCAATCAGAGTCATAGAGGACGACTACGTTAGCACTCATGAGGTTTAGACCGAGGCCACCGGCTCTGGTGGAAATGAGGAATACAAAATATTCAGAATCCTTTTTGGTGAACTCATCTATTTGACGCTCTCTATCATCAAGATCTGTTGTACCATCAAGTCTTCAATATTGAAACTCCCTCATGAGACAGTAATCTTCAAGGATATTTAGCTGAGTGGTGAAATTGGAGAAGATTAGGCATTGGTTTCCATCAGCTTTAGTTTTCTTTAGAAGTTGGTCAAGAAATCTCATCTTCCCTCATACTTGAACAAGATGTTCTCCAAACTCCTCTTCTGCTGGATCTTCGATGCCATTAAAGAGATAAGGATGGTTACAGACCTTTCTCAATTGTATTACTAAATTTTTGTAATGGCTCACAGTAGATCCTTTCTCAATAGCAGAATTTGTAAGAAGCTCTCTGTAGATTTTCTTTTGGATCTCTGTTAAGCCAACTTTGATGTGGAACTCAGTCTTTGGTGGTAAGTCTCAATCAGTATCTTTTTTCATTCTTCTCAACAGGAATGGTCTCATAATCAAATGGAGTTGCTTAATCATTAATTCATTTCTTTGTTCGGCAAGTTCTTCATCATCACATTTTTTTAGTAACATTGAAGAGCTCGTCAAAGTCATCAGAAGATGAAAAGATTTTTGGCATCAAGAAATTCAAAAGGGCCCATAGCTCATGTAAGTTGTTCTGTAATGGAGTCCCTGTGAGAAGGAGTCTGTAGTTAGACTTTAACATCCTAAGCTTCTTGGATAACTGTGATGCCTCATTCTTCATTTTATGAGCTTCATCTACAATGAGGTATTCCCAGTCAAATTTTTGTAAGTGGTCTAGACATATCCTAACTCCTTCATATGTGGTTACTCAGATATTGAACATATCAGGTTGAAGGTCATTACGAATGATTTCTTCTCTTTTAGCTTTCTTTGGTATCAAATTGACAACTTTCATTCAAGGAAGCCATTCTTTAAACTCTTTTATCCAATTTGGAATACAACTTTTAGGTGCAATGACCAAGAAATATTTAGTGATCTTCTTGTATTCTTTTAAGAACGCTAACAGGGCAATAGTTTGAATAGTCTTACCCAGCCCCATCTCATCTGCTAGGATTCCACTAGCTTTATGGTGATAGAGACTAATCAGCCAGTTCAATCCATTTAGTTGGTAATTGCGAAGCTCATGCTTAAGAATGCTTGGCTGATTTAGTAGCAAGAAGTCATCCTTTTCTCAGTTATTTTCTTCTTCATTTGAGTTGATATCTTCATTCGAGTCATTTCAGTGCCTTCTAGATTTACCTTTTTGGATGGTTTTTGCACTGGCTTTTTTCACCCTTCTTCCTTTAGTTTTCGTACCAAGGATTTTCTTAGTATATGCTTCAGCTTGGTTTAGGATATTTTTAAGCCTTTTCTCTGTACTTTTCTCCTTTGTAACTTTCTTTACAGGGCTAGTTGGAGCAGTCTCCTCGTCAGGAATGAATTCGTCGTCAGACATTTTCTACAAATCAAGAGGTATCCTCTTAATGTCTCTTTATGTGTACAAACTTGATGCAAAATATTCGAATTTTCCTTCAAATAAGCTTTTAAGAGTCCTGTTTCTCCACTAATTTGGCCTTTAAAGGGTTTTGTTTAATAAAAATGCTCAATTTTGTTCGGATTAGGTGGGGTTTTGGGGTTTTGGGGTTTTGGGG